GGCCGAGTGAGAAAACCGGGAGGGGCTTCGGCCGAGCAAGGAGGCCCCTTCATAAGTGAGGGCACATACGCAGCAGAGACAAGGACGTGATCCGAGGAAAGCTCAACTCGCCATCTTTGTTGAGGTCAAAACGGCCTGCCCCAACAGAGTTTAAAAAAAAGGAGCGTGGGGGAGGAGTTCTTCCACTGCAGAGACCAACTTTCTCTAACGTAAGCAACAGGGAGTCTGACACTGAGCAAAGCAGAGATAGAAACAAAGAAATGAAAACATTGAGATTGACGTTAGTGTGGTGGTGGCACCCTGTAATTTTAGCACTCGGGAGGCTGAGGCGGAAGCACCGGTAAGTGAAGGTCCGCTTTAGCTGCACGTATGTGACATCTTGTGTCAAACAGCATAACAGACCCCAAATAGGTGGAGACAGTTCTGGAATGATAACCAGGCTGTACAAGCTCGTTAATTTATAATTTACAAACTATTTACTCTAGCCATAGAGGCAGAATGACATTAACATCTAACCAGGAAACCACCACGTAACAAGACAGAACCCCAGGGAGGCATAGGGAGGAGAAAGTCTGAGATGAACTAAGCCCAGGGAAAAAGATGTTGACAAAGACAGGCATGACGTGGTGAAATGAAAACAAAGAGCAAAGCGTGTGTGAGAGCGCGCGCGCGCGCGCGCGCGCGTGTGTGTGTGTGTGTGTGTGTGTGTGTGTGTGTGTGTGTGTGTGTTCCGGTCCTCCCACAAGCAGGGCAAAGCACTCTCACACTAAGCTCAGCTCTCACAAGGCAGAGACAAAGCTTCATAGAAAGAAGGTTAAGTAGAGAAGGTAGTTTGCTTATTGCCAAACAAATGCACATCGCTTCTAACCCACAGCAGCAACAGCCCCGGATAACACGCCAAGGAATGAGAACCTCAGTAAAGTGGAGAAAAATGGAGACTGGGAATGCAACCACTGAGCGCTGAGAAAAATTAAGGTAGAAACCAGAGGTGCTAAGACCTCAGCAGAGAAAAGGAACAAGAAAGGGGAAGTGCTGCCAGGCGTTGGTGGTGAACGACTTTAATCCCAGCACTCGGGAGGCAGAGGCAGGCAGATCTCTGTGAGTTTGAGACCAGCCTGGTCTATAAGAGCTAGTTCCAGGACAGCCTCCAAAGCCACAGAGAAACCCTGTCTCAGAAAACCAAAAAAAAAAAAAAAAAAAGAAAGGGGAAGTGCTAGCTCACCCAAGCCATGTGACCTCACCCCTATAGCCTCAGCTGACTGGTGGGGGGGGCTACTCACCCTGCCCCCAGGGGAAGACGGAGGCCAATGGCACAAGAGCCTTGGCAGATGTTCTCACCCGTGGTATGACAACCTGAGACTCTAGTCCAGTGGTTCTCAACCTTCCTAATGCTGTGTTCACTTTAATACAATTGCTCACATCATGGTGACCCCCACCATAAAATCATTTTTGTTGCTACTTCATAACTAATTTTGCTACTGTTAGGAATATGATATGCATCTGGTACATCTGATATGCAACCCCGGTAAAAGAGTCACGTGACCCACACGCTGAGAACTATGGCTCTACATGAAGCCTTACCTGGTTCCACTGCCCCTTGGTTTGGCTGTCCTGTGGGCAGCCAGACTTCTGCTCTGTGACAGCAGGGCCTGAGTCCCACACAGGAGGCTTTATAGGGGTTGTCTGGGTAAAAAGTTCTTACTCACTGTGCAGTCCCAGGCTGGGACTCTGAAGAGGAGGGGCACATTGAAGGCTCAGGGTCCCAGGGCCAACATCTCCCATCCAGCTAGTCCTTCTTGTCCTACCCCAGTCCAGGTAACAGATTCTACCTAGCACTATGTACTAAGTGTTGACCCAACATGTTTACAGACCTAACAGCCAGGGAAGATACCCTATTAGGGTTATTATCACTCCTTTTCCAAACAAGGAAAAAAACACAGAAAGTGACTTACCCAAGGTCACAATTTTAAATAGCAGAGCCAGATGTCAAAAGACTGTAATCCCAGCTGCTTGGGAGGCTGAGGCACCTTTGTGAAGCCCAGACTTTAAAAAAAAAAAAAAAAAAAAAGGAAAGTGGCAGGTCTGGCACCCGAAATAGCCTACATTTTGGTTAGGTGGCAACTTTCCTATGTCTCTCCTTCTGCCGGGGGCTCCCTTGTCTTTCCTTCTCACCTTCAGGCCTCCACCCCCACCCCGCCCCGCCACGGTCTCTATTTCATTCTCTCCGTGGCTAGTCACTACTCAAGAGCTTATTATCCATCCCCTTTCCACCGCAGATCCGATTCAGGCTGAGAGCTCCGTGTGCCTTCCCTGAACATGAATACTTTGTGCATCGAAAATGATGGGCCACTTCAAACCCTCTGGTTGAGAAAAACAGCCGTTCTCTGAGGAAGGCGACTTAGAAGAGATTGGGGACGAGGCCATCTAGGAGCAGGGAAAAAAGCTGAACCCAAAATACCGGGGAGGGGGTATTATGGCTTAAACTACAGTATAAAAGTCTCAGATTAGAAATCTCGTAGGGCTTCCTGAACTTCAGTTGCGTCTAGTAAACTGAGCATAAGGAAAACGCAGACGCGAATTTAAGGAAGTGCCGGAAGTGTGAGATAAGCTTTCTCTTCAGGCCGGGACGAGCCTCACCTCCAAAACACAACCCACCGGGTCCTCCGGGAGCCACCGAGAAGCAGTCGGCGTGCGGCCAGAGAGTCACCGCGAGATTCCTCCGGCTAACTCCAAGC